TCCCAGACAGAAAAACGTGCCTGGCTGAGCCTCTCCTTCCAGCCAGCACCGTGGTCATGTCCTTGTGTGATGCAGTGCTTGTTCCATGTGAGTCCACCCACTCAGAGCAGCGTGGGCTGCACTAAAGCTTTTCAGGAGGGATCTCGCCCGTCCACAGATCGACTGACAATCCTCTGGCCTTCCTTGCAAGCTCTGGCTGTCCAGGGATGGTGGCCCCGAGAAAGCTTGTTCTTAACCTTTTCCCAGAGCTAATTTAGGTGCCATGCATGCTGCTAGGCTGACAGAGCCCCTGAAAACATGGGAGAGCTTGGGAAGGGCACAGAGTCATTGCAATGGAATGGTTGTTCTCCTATCAGCTTCAAAGCATTGAGAGTGAGGGAGGCTTACTCATTAGTGTCCCTAAGGGCTTCTGGGGTCACCCTCAGCACAATCCACTGCCTTTCCCTGGATGGCACGTGGCACATGTGTCTTGGAGGTGTGTGCTGAACACAAACAGTGATGTCCTGGTTGACAGGAACCTTTCCAGACCTGGGGCAGGATGCCTTCGTGGGCACCATGAGAGTCAGGGCTTGCAAAGCAAGGGCTTGATAACTTTGCCTTGAAACTCCTTGTGGCTGACTGTTTATTCATGTCTTTCTTTCTTTGGCCCTTCTCAGCAGTTTATCTTAAGGCAACTTAGAGTGGCAATGTTTGCTTCCCTGAGGAGAAAAGGGACGAATGCTCCAAGAATGAAAAGCATTCATTGATCACCAAAGGCCACCAAGCAATAGAGTGGCCTTTGGTGGGAAAAACACCGAGTTGTCTATCCATCAGCCACAGAGCCCTGGGATTATACGTGCCCTGCAACAAAAAGGCTTAAAGGACAGAAAATGTGACAGGGACTGAGAGAAACCCACAGACTGTTTGAGGCCACCTTCTTGTGCAGATTACTCCTGTCTCTGCTGCAAGATGATGGGCACCTTCCCTGCAAGGGGTCAGCCCCTGGCACTGTGCCTGCCTGTGGGATAGAGTTTGTGTCTGAACCTGAGCTCCCAGCCACGTCTGGGGCTGCCTCAAGGCACTGGCCACGTTGCCTCACCAAGTCCCTAACAAAGCAAATGGCAGCCCAGGCTTGTGGCTGTCAGGGGCAGGATTTTAACCCCTTGTGGCTGTCAGCAGTGTTAGTGTCCCATGCACAGCGTGCCACTGGCTGTGCTCTGGCTGTAACCTAAACCAGCCTTGAATGAATTCTTGATTCTGTCCTGGCAGGAGACGAGAGAATCCAAATCCAAAAGCAGCATGGCACTCGCTTTCCTAAAATTGTTTTTGATTTGGGGTAGTGTTGAAAAGGTTGGCCAAGCCTAGCAGAGAGAAAAGACATCCTGAAAGCACTTTCCCAGGAAGACCAATTCCAAATCTGGCAGTTATAAAGCTGCTGCAGCTGTCAGATGGGCTTCTAGGAAAAATAACAGGACAGCAGGACAGAGCTGACAGCTGAGCTGGTACAGGTGACAAAAAGCAATGCTGCCTCACCAGGGACTGAATGACCATTAGCCTCTCATAGGGTGTAAAAAAACCAAAGTGCATGCCAGAGCATGCTTTGGACAGAGCTGATTCGGGACCTGAATGCACTGGGATATCGCTGGTGAGTGCAACTGGATTTTCCATCTGGAAGGCATGACTGTCTGGCCTAGAAGCCAATTTAAAGAACAAATTAGATCTGGCTGTTTGTCAGAGTCTCCTCCTCGAAATGCAATAAGGACAGGGTGGTTATATAATGTAAACCATTCTTGGTAGTTTAGTGGTCCTGAAACAACAAACAAGCCAAGGAGGGAAAAATTGGTTTGCAGAATTCAAAGCCGAAGGAGTTCAGCTGAGGAATTCAGCCCACATGATCCAGCAGAGATGTGTGCTGCTATTCCTGTATGTCTTGAAAGGAAACTGCCACCAGATCCTCTGCTATTTTCTGTCCACAGGGCCCTACTGATAGGCGTGATATTTCAGCCCCTGCACTAAAGCCCCGTGCTCCAAATATGCAGGGACAGTTGTGTGCAGAGCCAAGCAGTGTTCCCCACTGCTGGGGGGCCAGTGGGAGGCAGCTCCTTCCTCACCAACACATTCCAGAGCCCTCAGGAAAAGGCAAACCTCTGTGGATAAACGTGGGCTGTGCTGGCTTTGCCCTGATCCATCGCCCTGTCCACTGACACAGGCAGGACGGGCAGTTCAGAAAGAATTTCTTCACCCGAAGGGTTTCCCAGCATTGGAATGGGCTGCCCAAGGAGGTGGTGGAGTCACCATTCCTGGAGGTTTTCAAGGAATGACTGAGTGTGTCACTTAGTGCTGCGTTCTTTTTGGCAAAGAGGTGATTGGACGAAAGTTGGGCTCCGTAATCTTGGAGGTCTTTTCCTACCTGAATGATTGTGTGGTAGGCAGCAATCCCTGCAAACAAGGGGGTTCCATGCTGTCTCCTTGCTGACCCCTCTTAAAGCAGAGGAGTTTATTTTAGTCACTCTATTGGTAGCAGCATGTGGCCAAATTAAAGAAAAATGTTTTTTGAGCCTGAAGGAAGTGAACCACCATTTCAGAACTGATGGCCTTCAAGGGTTCGTTTACTATTTAATGCTGATCTAGTAATTATATATGCTTTGCTTCCCGTTGTTCATAATCATCAACAGGCCTCTCAAACTTGAAGAAGGTACAAAGCCTGCACACAGAGTGGGCAGCACTGATTTATTGAGGAGAAAGAGGAAGAATGTTACAGTGCATTCAGATGCCTGAGGTCAAAAAGGAGTGCTTGGCTTAGCCGTGTGGACAGTGAGTTTTGTGGTCAGAGGAGCCAGCTCTCCCCTCTTCTCATTGGGACCTGTCACAAGGGATTCCCTTTTTCTGGACTGGCATAAATCTAGAGTGACTACCCTGACCTCGGGCTGGCACGAGACCTAAGTGGCCAAGACTAAGGAAGCTAAAAAGAGCTTTTTTTCCATTGACTTTAATGAGTCCCAAATGAGAGGGATTCGAACCTTTCTCTTAAGACAAGCTTGTTTATTGGCACTGAGCTTCAGACACGGCCTCTGGGTGCCCAGCCTGGTGGAGATGCCACATCCTGGAGTACAGCAGCCATCGTGTGAACTGCTCTTGCCAAGGGTGCCTTTGGGATAGAGAAGCATCTTTCCATAGTCCCCCTGTGATGCTGCTAAAAGGAGGTAAAGCCCCCAGTGGCAGCTAAAAACCCAGCAGGCTGGCAGAGACTCAATAGATGGCTGGCTGGTTTGCTTTTAATAAAGCAGGTTACCTGCACTGCCAGGGAGGATTGACATCAGATGCTATGGAAGTAGTGGTGGTGGGAGGGAAAACTCTTCCATGGAGCCGTGCTGCTGTCTGACACCATCAATCTGCTGCCAGCTCACACCCTCCCTGCTTCCCTTTGCTCTCCTGTCCCTCGCTCTGGGGTGCAGGAGTGACCCGTGGGGGGCACAAGGCACGAGTGAGGGCTGTGCCCTGTGCAGGGGAAGCAGTGATGCTGCAGAAGGACATTAGCGGTGCTCCTTGTCTCCTGGCTTTCCTCCACGAGTAATTTCCAGGGAAATTGAACCCGACTCTGCTCCATTAGCCACTAACCTCTCGTCTGCTGGGCCTGTCTTTTGCATTAGGATGGAGCAGAGCTGCCTTGCGCTCTGCTGTCAGGCTCTGAATCAGCTTTGATAAAAGACCAAGTGTTGGAATGAGAGGAAGTATTTACCTAAAGTTGTTTTCAATTTCCTGAGCTTGCTGTATCCATTCCCCTTCGCTTCTGGATTCCAAAACAATCAGTCTTCTGAGGGAGCCTTGCTTCATTACTTTTGCTTCCCCCAGTGCAGTTGACACTCAGTCCGGGTTTCCCAACCCTCCCAGCTCTCATTCATTAACTTCAAAGCTCCTACCAAGCTGCTGCTCTGCCTCCCTCCCCTAAGCACGTGGCATCTGGGCTGGACCCAAGATTTTGGGGTTTCCTGTTCACCCCATGGGGGTGCTCACCCTTCACGTGTTGACTGGCTGTGCTGGGTTGGTGGCAGCTTGAGCCTGATCTGCACCTGCCAAAGCTGAGGAGGAAGGGTTTTCTCAGCCGTGTGTGTGGAAATAGGTAGTGGAGGATTAACAGGAGCCTGGCAGAGGTGAGGGGGAGGGTGGGCTTTGGGGTGGATGGAATAGCCCAGCTGTGCAGTGAGGCTGAAGGCATTCAGCAGTAGCTCCTCACTAATGGTTTAATGGTAAATCTAAATGCAAATCAGTGCTCTGGCTTATCAGTCCCACGCGTGCCAATGCCCTGTGCTGAGCACCTCGGTGCACAAGTAACCAACTGAGCAGACAATGCCTGAGCTTGCTTGTAATAGAGGGAGGTTTTCTGCTCAGCAAGGGGCCCAGGGAGTTGCTGTTGGGAACAGAGGAGTTTTTCCTCAGAGCCCCAGCCTTGGGATGGAGAACGATGTGCCCTGATGATTTCATGCGTGAAAATCTCACCCTTACATTGCCACCTGGGTGAGAAGATTTTGAGTGTTCAGTCTAAGAACCCTTTTTTGCTACAGCTTCGTGCTGCTCTAGCTGTGCTGAGAGCCTTTAGCAATGCTCTGCACCAGGATTTCCCAGGTTCACCAAAAGAAAGGATTAGCAGAGCAGCTCTCCCAGTGTAGGAGAACAAAACTCATCTCCCAAAAGAATTCTTAGGCTTGCGAGATGCTGGGGAATAGTGCTGAAGGGATGGAGGCTTTTTCTTGTCCCATTTGTAGCGATGCTATTCTTAATTTAACTTCTCTTTCCCACCCAGGCTCTGCAGGAACCAAGATAACAGCAAAATGCAGGCTAACAGGGATGACCATCTCTGCAGACTCCAGTGGCACCGAAAATTAAAAATCAGCTCCAAACAAGGAAGAGAAAGCTCAGCTACGAACAAAAAACCAAGCAACTGCTGCAAAGAAATAAAACTTCTTCCTGTGAAATGCTTCTTTGAAGGGCTTCTGCTGCGAGAAAAAAGTTCCTCCATGAAGAAGAGTGCAGAGCCTGGTTTGCTCAGAGCAGCTTCCCTCATCGTCTGAACAAAAGGTGAGGGGTTAGTGGAGAACACAAGGACAAGCGTGGGCAGTGTAACTGCGTGTCCACCACTTGTTCTCCTCTGGCCAAGCCTTCCCTCTGCGGGGTGTGCGGGAGAAGGGCTGGCCCCAAACCGAGCAGAACCTGTGTTTGCTCCGTCCTCCCCTGGAAGCTGTGACCCGCCCTCAGCAGGGGCAGCTGGTGGCCAGGCTCCCACCCTGGACACGGCTCAGCTCTGCTGGATTGCTGTCACACAGCTCTGGGGACAGGTTCCCACCGCTGCAGCTGCACGAAGCCACTTTGGCTTTGCTGGGAGGGAGGCAGCAAGGAGCTCAGGCATTTGAGGGTTATGAAAATATAAAACCCTCACCAGATACTACTGACTTTGCTTCTTGCTTACTTCCTTAGCTGCTACCAGTGCTAGGAGTTCATATTGTGCAGTGAGCCCCTTTGTTTTGTAGGAGGCCAAGTGATTGAAAACAGCCATGATATTACTATGCATGGACAGTACATTTTTTCCATGTATTTTCATAACCCTTTTCCCAAAGGATCAAATGTGTCTTTATTCTATAACTCCACAATGGGTTAGAGCAGCTCCTCGGGCGGGAATTGTTCTGCTCCATAGGCCACTTAATACTTCCTATAAACAAATACCAAATTAGGTAGGTAATACTCAATATTGCTGACCTTACTTGCAAAGTATGTGTAACTGCATCTCAGAGAGGCAAGGGTGGAGATACCCGTTGTGAACCTGATGGCAAAATAGTTGTTGTGGGGTGTTTTGTTTTTTTTTTTTTTTTCTGTTGTAGTTTTTGGAGTTGTTTGTTGGCTTTAGTTTTATTTTAATAAAAAGTGAGGGTATGTGTATGTGTAAAACTGCATTTCCCACAAAAGAAATGCAGGGAAGCTTTGATCTCAGACCTCTATTGTACCTTAGGCATCTCTTAGGCATCTAAGCCAATGTGTATCTAGTTGAGAAGGGAGTTTCACAATAATGCCACGGGAGATATTTTTAAGTATGTATGTGCCTTGCTTGCTTTTTGTCCCTCGTTAACACTGTGTGATTTTTCTAAATATTGTCTAAATTTGAGCCATGTCATCAAGACTCCACATCAGAGCGGGACCCATTGGTTCTTCAGAGTGCCTGGCACGGGAAGTTTCCACTCTGCTTGTCTTTTGAGGCTGGGCTGCTTGGGAATACTGTGGGAGCCCTAGACCTTGCCTACACTATGGGCCCAGCAGAAGATGCTGCTATGCTGTTATGGGGGTGACATTGTCCCACTGCAAGCCTTGGCAGCCTCTCTGCCCCACTATCCCGTGTGTGTGAGAGTGTTCTGACCTTTCCTCACAAGAGCCCTGAGAGCTGATGTGAGTTTTTTCTCTTCCCCCATTGCTGTTTCTGTCAGGCAGCCCCCCTAAGACGTTCTACTCTCACTGCCTTGCCTTGGAGGGATGTGGCTGTGCTCGCCTCAGCCCCTTGCAGTGCTCCATCTGAGCAGCATTCTGTGAAGGGATGGTCTGCAGACCGTGCACTTCCACTTGCAAGAGTCCTTCCCACCCCCTTGTTTTGTTACCCTCCTTCCTCCTCTCTTCTCTGCTCACAAAACATCTGTTTCCAGATGTTGTTCTCGAGCCTAATAAATGCAGAGAAAGGCCTTGAGTTAATGTATTTACAATAGCTGGAGATGTTGGCTGCTGGTTAATGGCTCGTTGGAGCACACCAAGACCCCCATGTTTCCTCCGGGGGGGGGAGGGGGAAAGCAGAAGAGCAGAAAGAGAACTGGGGTGGGGTTTTTGTCCCCAGTAAATGGTCTAAAAAGGGGAAGGTTAGTAGTGGGATTGAGCACATGGACATCTCCGGGCAGTTGGCTTCAACTTCCAGTTAGTGATGGGAAGGACACGCTATTTTTTTAATAGAAGGTTATATTTTAAGTGAAGGAAGGTGAGAAAAGCCTGCTGCTCTTATCTATCCCTTTTCAGGTGAAGGTCTGCTGTAGATACCTTGCTGGCTTGAGCTGTGCCCACAGAAGCAAGAACCTCATCCTTGCCCAGCTCTTTCCATTTCTGGCCAGTGGCATGGAGAGCTTCATGTCCACAGTACGTGCCTTGGGTCAAAGAGGGTTTCTAGTCTGTTATAGTCTATTATAGTTTATAGTCAATGAGACCACCTTGTGCCCAGTGAGGAATCCCCACACGTTGTGAGCACTGTGTGTGTGCTGCAGAGCAGTGCTGGGCTCTCTGTGAGGAGCTTTGCTCATCTACAGATGTCCCTGAGAAAGACAAAGTGCCTGTGCCAGCTCAGGACTGACCAAGCTGGAGTTTTGCCACACTTGCTTGTAACTGATCAATTCACCCGGTGCCACGTGCTAGATGTGAAACTTTTTCGTTGTACAGAGGAGTTCGGGAGGTCATATACAAGTTCTGTTTGCTCCAGTTCTTTGTATGTTTGTGCTGAGGTCCTTAACTGCTCTGGAAGACCTGCTAGAAGTGTGTGGTTACTGTCCTTGCAAGGAATTTCATCAACCTTCCCGAGGAAGGAGGGATACATCCTCAAGCTCAGGGTATGCAGGGTGTTCTGTGAGTCACCAGTCAGTGAAATCACTCCTGATTGCGAGTGAGTATTTGTTTCTACTCGACCAAGTTTGAGAGTCGCCAGCTTGCAGGAGGACGGGTTTCAGCACTCACCTCCTCTCAGGCCATTGAGGGAGCTGAAGTCCGGGCTGTGCTCAGCTCAAGGAGAGCTGAGATGATTCCATGTGCCAGGCCTGTCTCTGGAGGCAGCTTTTTAGCTGAGCAGTGCTGCAGACTCAACGTGTGCAGTTGGCTCAGGTCTGTGGCTAAATGAGTCCGTCTTTATTGGTGTGGGATGACAGGGCTCCTTAATATCTCACGGATAGAAAAATTACCCTCCTGCACATCTGCAGCTAAGGCCTCTGCATGAAACCCATGTGAGTGCAGCTCCCCAGCCTGCAGCAGCTATGACATACCCTCTAAATGAGCTGATCAGCTGGAGAGGGGCTGGCGGGGAGGCAGGAAAAGGCACTTACAGAGTCATTCAGGCGATGCTCCTGTCTGGACAGCAGGATCTGTATCGCAAATCAGAGCAAAAGTGCAAGAGAGCTCTCCCCAGCCAGTGTGGGGAAATGAGATGTAGACACCCAGCAGATTTCCATTTTTAGCTTTAGAGGGTTCGTTTTTGTGATTTCAGTGCTTAGGCTGGTGTGAAATGGGGAGAGAGAGACAGCCTTAGGTGAAAGTTTGTATAACACAGGCAGTCACCAGCAGTTCAAGCCCAGTCTTTAGGCAGTGTACTGCAGCACTCTCTAGGACACTCGGCACCACTTGCTAACTCGTGTTTTCCCGAGAAGTTCTCTGCTTCTCAAACGCTGTATCATCAGCCTGTAAGCATCTGCCTTTCATTTCTCTCTGTCTACTTATTCGCTGTGATTGCAGGTGGTATCTTGGGTAACTCCCATGGGCTGGGAGTTACTCTGGCGGAGCCAGACTTCTTTTCCTTTTGTGAAGAAATAGGCTGCTAGCACAGGGAGAGACTGGGCAGGGGGTAGGAGACCGGGGTGGCTGCACCTCCTAAATGAATAGACACCCTTTGTGTGCCGGGTCTGTGGGTTACACATCTCCGTCCCGCTGATATGAAAAACTGTTGAAAGGCTGCAGCCATCGGAGGGGTGCTCTCCGTGCCTGCCGGAACAGCAGCGCAAACTTGAGCAGCGAGATGACAAGAGAACCCACTAAAAGAAATAAAGAAAGGATTTCCTGCCTCGCAGACGCTAAAACCCCATTTTGGGAAGTGAGTGGCTGTGAAAGGCATGAGGCCATTCAGAGAATTGGGGCTGTGTGCTACCGGGCCCTCGGAGGGTTTGTCTGGTGGAGGAGGAGCAGCCCGTGCTCGCATTAACCTGCTCCCAGTAGGTCTATTTCTTCCAGCCCCCTGAAACAGAGACCAAGCCAGAGATGAATATGAGTTTTCTCTGCCAGTTAATTTCCAGCACAGACTGCACGCAAAATCTTCATTTAAAACGTGTAAATGACAGCGAAAGAGCCCACGAGGGAGCCAGATTTTAAGAGACCGGTTTGCTGCCTGGGTTTTAATGACCGTGCACCACGGTGAGCTCTGTGCGGCTTCGCTGCTGAGCGTGCTCAAGGAGAGGGCGAAAGAAGGGACAGACAGACAGACAGGGGCTCAGCAGAGCCCGCATGTCACCCTGGAGGATAAAATATTGGATGTCATGCTCAGAAAAACGGGGAGAGGTGGCCCTCCCTTGCTGCTGAGGAACAGAAGGAGGCTTTGTTTCCCAGACGCACGGCTCGGAGCTGCCCTGTGGTTTTGGGGAGACTTCTCCCCGCCAAAGAGGGGGCTGTCTGTCTGGTGGGACACGGAGATGATGGGAAGCCGTGCTTCACTAGAGGGCCTCAGCAGATTAGTTCCTCTGAGCACCCTTGGCAGGTTGTACCCCCGAATGTTGGCCCCAAATGTCCCCCCCCTTGCGCTGCGGCTCTCCCGCTGGGGATGTTGGTGTTTGTCCCTGCTGCCCTTCGCTTGTTTCTCGCAGAGCCCTTGTTTCCAGATGTTTCCCTCTGCTTCTCACCCTGCCCGGCTGCTCTGCTCAGAATACCGGGGTCCAAATACCCGGCTGGCGGTGCCCCAGGATCGGCGTGGGGCATCCCGTTTGTGCCATCCCAAAAAGTGCTCTGGGCTGCCGGGAGGAAAGGAAGGCGCAGGCTGGTGCGAGCCCAGCCTCTGCTTTACAATCCCTTTCCTGCCGCTATAAATAACCTCGGCGAGAGTCACTTCAAAGGGAAGGGCTGGCGGCGGAGAGGTGGCTTGGGGACCGAGCGGGACAGGGGCGTCCCACTGCCCGATCCCACCCCGGCGCTTTGCATAAATAAATAAATCATGCGGCGGGGGAGAGGTGGAGAGAGCGGGCGAGCAGAGGAGGTGACTTTGGGCAGCCGCGCTCAGCTCGCTCATCCCAGCCCCGCGGTTCGGAGGGAGTGTGTCATGTTACAGGGGAGCCACGGCAGGCCAGAGCACAGCGTCGCCTCAGCAGCTGAGAATTACCTCTCTCGAATGGGGACTTTCATGTGCGAGCTCCTGGCCAGCCTGCGAAGGAACTGAAAGTGACAGCTTAGAAAGAATCAAAACCCTACCAGCGAACCGAAAGACTGAAATACAGGAGGAAAAAAAAAAAAAATCAATCTCGATCAGATTATTTTTTTCCCCCCTCGCACTCTTTGCTGCAGTTGGATCCCTTTTTTTTCTGCACCCCTTTTATGCGTGTGTGGTTTGTTTTTATTTTTTAAAGACACCCTCCCCCCCATCCACTTTTGTCATTATTGCTGTCACTTGTGATTTGCTGCCGCTGGGATCCCCTCCGACGTCCTTTTCCTATGCCTTCTGGATTGTGCTTCTCGGAGCAGGAGTGAGGCTTTATTTATTCTATTTATTTATTTATCGTTTCTCAGGCCGGGGAGGGAATGTTGGAGGAGAAGAGCTGGAAAGGCGTGGACGAGGCAGCTTTTGACAGGGGGTGTGTGGCTGCCCCCAGGAGCGGCGATGGGGAGCGATGCTGCCGCCTCCCCCTGCTGCTGGGCTCGGGGCTGCCCGGCGTCTCCCTGCTCTCTCTGGTGCTCAGCCTCCTGCTGTACTTTCGGACCTCCGACCTGCAGTCCCGCGTGTCCCACCTGGAAGCCGACAGACCCCAAACACAGCTCCCCGCCTGGCTCTCGGCGGACCAGATGGAGACGGCTATTTTGGGAAGAGTTGACCAACTGCTCAACGAGGTCAGTGTTCCTTCGTTTTGCGTGAGTAGTTTGCGGTGTTACAGGTTTTAGGCACGTGCACGCTTGCGTGGTCACGTTATCCGTTTTTCCCCCTCCCCATTCCTTAAAAATGGATCTCTGCACAAGTGATGCTGCTGCTAGGTTGAATCCCCTGTTCCTTCAGGTCCCTCCCACCTCTCAAACTTTCTTGATGTTTCTTCTTCTCTGCCCGTGCTGTGGCTGCAGCCTGCACTTTGCAAAGGGGAAAACCTCATCCCTGGTCGTGGTGGGGAGGTAAAAACCTGCAGCCCTTCTCTTCGGGAGTCTTGCATGCTGAAAGAGTTAGAGGTTAAACCTGGACATTCAGCACCTGGCGTTTGAGCCCCAGGAGAGGGACAGGCAAGGCATGTCACAGCCAGCACGGCTATGGGAAGAGGTGATTGCCAACACACACCAGTGCGGTGATGGGCTGGCATTGCTGCTGCACCAGCCCTGACCCCTTCCACAGCTCCTGGCTCAGGAAAATGAGACGCACTGGCATTGCCAGGATGGTTTCTGGTACTGCCAGGGCATCAATGCAGAGCATATGGATGTGTTATACTCGCTTGAGTCTCATCCAAACTCCACTGGACCCTGTGGGCTCTCCTCTGATGATGGGGGAATGCTGCTACTGGCTTCAGCATGTCGATAAAGAGGGCCCAAAAGCGCAGATTATTGTGGCTGACACCTTGTACTTTGCTGTGTTGATGCTGCTGGGGGCTGTCTGTGTTCCTCTACTCTGGCTCCATGAGTATTCCTTGCCTTGTCGGGCTTTGAAGCGGTGTTGACATGTGTCAGGGAGCAGATGGTGGCTCATGTCTCTGAACTCTCCAGACAGGTCCCCACTGACCTGTTCCCACAGCTCTAGGAGAGGCTTGGGGGTGAAATTCAGGGCTGGAGCCGTTTCCACCCACCTCTCCTTTTCTCTGTTTACTTTGCTTTGGCTTGAGTCATGCTGGAGAGATCCCTGGGGCTAGCCCAAAAACTGTTTGTATCTGAGAAAAATCCCTCGTGGGCTGCTATTGCCAAATGAGGCGAGGAATGGGATGATCAGAGTGCTGGCTGCTGGGACCTGCCTTGGGCAGTGCTGCCTGGCACCTGGGGTGACCTGGACCCCCTCCGGCTTTCTAGGAGCAGTGAAAGTCTGTGGTGAGGAGTTTAAACCTACGGCTGACAGGCTCTGCTTCTGTTTATGGGCCTTGTGAGAGCAGTCCCTGGATCTGCTGGGGTATGCAGCCAAAAGCTGTGAACCTTCAGTTAGCAAACGCTGCAGGAGCTGAAAGATACGGTTTTGAGTTGCCTCTTTGGATGAGGAATAAGGGAAACACAGGGTCCACGGGGCAACATCCTACTTGAAAAAGGGGTTTGGGGAGGCAGAAGCATTGTGAGTGATTGGATCTGTGCCCTGTGGTTGCACTCTCATGCAGGGACTCCTTCCCTGCCACCAGGCAAGGGATAAGTGCAGCAATCCCTCTGTTGCTGCTGGCATGAGTCTGCTGGGAAGTCGAAGTTTATCTCTACTGAGATTTGAGAAGTGTCACAGTAGTCCTCCTGGGATTGGTGCCTGGGGCCGGATGGCTCTGCTGGCACTGGCACCTTTACACCTTTTTATAGCTCAGCTTAGTGAGGAAATGGGGGTCTCGGCACCCCTGTTTCCTGAGCGGCCCCTCCTGTGCTCCTGGGGGTGGCCACAGCCCCCACTGCAGCCAGTGTGGGGAGCAGCTGTAGGACAGGAACGACTGCTTGAGGGGCCAGCACTTGCTCCTGAGTACCACCAGCGTTACCAGCTCCATCCTGGGCCACAGCTTCAAAAAGAGCTTGGAGAAAAGTGCCAGAGACTGTGGAGGAGGAGGGATGCCTGTGTCTCCTGTCCCTTTATACCTGGGGAGGTCTGATGATCCTCCATGGGGGAGGAGGGCTCTGTCCCTCGGGGAGGAGACCCTTGCCAGCTGTGCTGCCCACTCCTGCTGAGCATCTGAACCTCATCTCCACACTCAGCCAGACACAGTGGCGTGGACCAAGCAGCTCGAGGTCCAGGGCAAGGTGGACAGATGGTGGTGTGCCACGTGAGGCTTTTGGTCAGGAAAGAAAAATCCTTCCTGTCCTTCTTTTCATTATGTTTGAAGTGGGGAACTGGTCTGACTGGTGGGGGGCAAGGATGGAGCAAAACAGGGTAGATAAAGGGTGGGAGAAAAAAAAGTAAGGAAAGCAAAATAAGACGTGCTGACCATGACTGGGGGAGAGGATGGGCTTGCTGTGATGGACGTGAAAGTGGGATATTCATCTCCCCCTGCTCAGACCCTCGCCGCCTCTCATTGCCACATCCTCACAGTTTCCTGGTGTTTCAACCTTAATGGGTTTCACAGCTGCCAGCTCAGTGTTATCCATCACAAAATAAACCAGCAAAGCTTTAAAGGAACCCCAGCTTTAGAAAAAGCTGGTCAGAGGTGGGGAGGGAAGGTGGGAGGGGAGGCAGAGCACAGGAGCACGTTTCTAGCTCTGGTGGCTGTGCAGATGAGCTGATGAGCTGGAGGGATGTGAAGAAGTGAAGTCTGTGAGGGCTGATAGAGGAGCTCTAAGGTTAGGCTCAAAACCTGGAGTGTGTAATGCCCTCCAACCTGGGCCACGACTGTGCCCAGGGTGTTCCCAAGGGTCTGCAGGGATACCATAAACCCTGCACTGAGAAGTGCAAATCGCCAAAGTCCTTTTAGGGACCTTTCTTCTGGACAAGCAAAAATAAAGCAAAGTGGCAGGGGGAGGAGCTGGGTTGGTTTGCTGAAGATGTTAATTTTAAGGCAGCTGGTGGGGATGTTTTCTCCATCTCAGAGCCTGGTTTTCCAGCACTGGTGGCTGGCTGTGGCAGAGTTTCCATCTCAGCTCAGGAGGAGCGAGGAGAGGGCGGCTGATGCTTTCCCAGAAGCAGCCTGACCAGTGCTTTATTTGCTACTGTGTAAACCTCTGCCTGGTGTAGGCGAATACCACAAGGGAATTTTCTACCAGACTCGAATTGACGAGGTTTTCTTGTAAAAACATCTGTGCTGAATGGGCCAGAAGCAGGTAGTACAGGGAGAACTTTTAACTCCACGTAGGAATTCGAATTCCCCTGCATTTATGAGACATCATAAAATCATACAGGGAACACAGATAAACTCACTACTGGCGTTTGCAAGAGAAGCAAAGCTTTCCAAAGAAGAAAACAAGCTCCTTTCCCATGCTGGGTAACATTTGGTGCTATTTTACTTGCCAAAAACTCACCAGGGTGGAGAACAGGATGGATTCAACGCTGTTGCTAGGAAAAAAAAAATCCCAGAATTTGTGAATTTGTAGAGATAGAAATGTGTATGTGTGATGTAACAGCAGGTAATCCCGTGCACCCTGGGGGAAGATCAGCTGCCCCTCAGCCTTCTCAGGGGCTTGTGTTGAAGGTGTTTGTTGTGGCTTGAGTGGTTCTGAAGGGATTCAGGAGTGTGCCTGTGAATGGGGAGGGAGCACTGCTCCTCACTGCTTTCCCAGTAGTCTCATTTCCCTGGAACTCTTTGCTTATTTATGAAGGCAAAGGAGGGACACCAGAAAACTCCCTTTTCCTCCTGACTTGAGGCATTTCCCCCCCCTCCTTTTATTCCATTTCTCAAAGCACGCTGCACAATTGTTTCCTAGGATCTTCAAGCTTGCTCTAAGCATCCCCTGCCTACATCTTTGGCTTACTGTTCTTCACCTCACAATCATGAGATCTCCTTTTTTCAACTTCTCTGGTAGCTAGGTCCCATGTCCTTTCAGCTGCTTGCAATCCCTGTACCTAGGTGGTGTCATTTCCAAGCTTTTTGTTCCGTCTGGGAGGACTCGCTGCTCGCTTTTGCTTTGTGCCACATGGTCCCGTGTGATCCCAGGAGCTGGGCCTTTAAGAAAAAACGGGGAAATTGGAGGTAAAACAATAAGAGTTAACAAAACCACCCACCCCTGAAATCCTCCTGATGGTTGTAATAGATTATCTATTTAAAACGTGTTTCTCTTAGCTGTTGGAGATAGTGGTGGGAAATGATTTCACCTCCCCGGGTGACTGCAAACAACTGGGAATGCTAAAGACCCATTAATCTGCCCCCTTTGAAGAAGTGCTCTCCCTCTCACCTAATCTCAAGTGCCCGTCCAAAACAGACAGGCACTTGCAAGGTTTAGAGACCCCATCCTTTAATGTCACAAGCGGTCTTGCTGCCCTGCTCTGTCCACCCCTGGCAGCCCTGTCCTGTCTCTCTCGTGGTGAGTTAACAAAGCCACGGGAAAAGCCCGTGCTGACTTTACTGCCCATTCCCAGCAGGTGTTCCGGGGGTTTTCCCTTTCCCCATGGCTCCCTAAACCCACGGAGGTGATCAGCTGTGGCTTTGTGAAAAAGGCTTTTTCCAGCCACTTGCCGTGGTGCAGGGGGAAGATGCAGCTGTTATGTCACTGAACAACGTGACAGATGAGAGCTCTGCTGACCAAGCAATCCCCTCCAAAGGAAGTGTTTCCAACCTTTTGGAAGGCAGCCTTTTGCTGCTCTTGATGCTACATGCTCCAGGTATCCCCCAGGTAAAAAAGTAAACCCCAGATCCCAGGAAGGAGAGTGCAAACACTAGATTCCCAGAGCCTACCTTATTTAAAAATTTTGCTTACAGAAGCCAACCTTGCCCTAAAATGAATGATTTTCATTCATTTTGAATGACCATTCTAAAGCAGAATGGTTTTCTGTTGCCTGGGAATGAAAGTTTTCTCTTGGAAACGGCATCTCCAGCGGGAACTACATTTGGTTTGCTCTCCAGAACAAAGCCAGCTTCTTGTTTTGGACCAGGCAATATTTTGCACAGTGGAAATGAGGGAAGCAGAAAAGGCTGGGGGCTTTGTTTTGTTTTACCATCTCCACCCAAAGTTGAGCTGAGGTCTCCAAGAGCCAAGGATTTTTTTTTTTTTTTTTTCTGTGGCAGTGTTTGTTTAATAGACTCTGCAGGAGAATGAATGCCAGGCTAAATGGCATTTATCCTAAATCCCTGGTAGGTTTTGCCTCCCATTAAAGGGGAGCAATCCCACAACACGATTCCCCAAGGATGTGCAGAGCTCTTGGGCTTGAGGGAGACCCGAGGGATGGGGGAGGAATGTCCAAATGCTTGTAACTGCGTGGTGGCTGCATGGTCATGGTGCACAGGGCTGTGCTCCAGCCTGCCCAGCAGCACCAGCACCTCCCTCCTCAGGGGCCCCTGTCCTTGAGAAGGCTATTTCAGTTGTCCCAGGTCTTTCCAGTGCCTTGACCCTGCAGATAAAGCCTCAGGGAAACGTTATCTGCTCTGTTCCGTTCCCAGCCATGCTCATGTCCTGCTGGGTCATCACTTCCCTGTCCCGTTGTGCTGCTCCTCTCTTTGTAAGCCAAGGCTTCTTACAGCACAGCCTAACTCTGCCATTCCCCCTTAGCCCCTCCAGGGCCTCTGCACTTGGTGGGACAGGGATCTGTTCCATGTTTCCTTGCAGATTTGGGTCCTGTAAAGGCCCCTGTTGCAGCCAGGGTGTTTGGACCCTTGCTGGCCAGGAAATGGCTTTCTGCTCCTGCCCTTGCAAACCATCACCCCTTCCTTGTCTGAGCCTCACTCCCAGGCACGGGAACACCACCCAAATGTGGCAGTCTCGTTTTGGGACGTTTTGGTTGGCACATGTGTAGATGGGAATGGGGCTGTGTATGTCCACACACCAGTGTGAGTGTCCAAATAAAGGCTCTGCTGTCCTACTTGTGCCCATGTTAGAAGCAGAGCTGTGCCATCCTGTGCCATCTGGGGTGGCAGCAGGGTGGGAACGTGCCCAACATGCAGGGATTCACATATCTGTGCTTTTAACTGAGAAGGTAAACACCGATGAAATGCTCTGTGGGAACTGGCAATTTTCCTTGCCTAAAACCCTCTCCTCGCCCCGTTATCAAATCAACTTGCTATCAAAACATTTCAGTCTACCATGCAAAATAAAGCTCTGAAAATATTTGATTTCTAGTCAGTCACAACAACCGTTATTCTTTTGACTTGCAATGAGGAAGCCAGTCCTTTCAAAGTGAAAAAATGGAAATGTTCCAGCCAGTTCTGCCTTCCTTCATCCCAGGCAGAAACAAGTTGATTTACTTTTATCCTCTCTAAAAGAATTTTCCCCCAAACCGATGCCTTCTTGCAGGATGATGCTTAATTACTTGTGTAAATTAAGCAATTTCTATATGATCTTGGGCATGGGCTTCTGTTGTGCCCTATATAAGGCTATTTAATTTGAAATATTGGCCCACTTGTGAAGTAGTTTAAGAAATAAGAGAGCTCAGCTGGGATGGGAAGTTGGGCTTGAAGGTTAGGAGGGAAGAGAGAGTGGCTCTGGAGCTTAGGAACCCCAGCAGCTCAGCCTTCCCAAATCATTAACCAAGTGTGGTTCTCAGGCATTAATGAATAACCAACTTGGATTGATTTGCATTTTCTTCACTAAATTACAGTTATTTTATGAAGTCTGTGAGGGGTGGTGAGGATGCTACCCCTGAAGCACATTTTGCTCAGGACATGGGTTAATTTTGTTGATGTTCCCAGCGAGGGAAGATGCAGTGACATCAGGTGGGCTTTATTTGCCTTTCAAGAAATACACAGGTGGGCCCAGAGAGCAGGACACTGACGTGCTGGCACCATTAGAAATCCAAACTCATATGTGAAGTGAATGCTGTGACAAAATTCCACCTTGTGGAAGCTCTTGATTGGTTTTGTTGTGTTCTGCCCTTGGGGGGGAAAAAAATTAAATTTCACAGTATCTGGAGATTTCGGGGGATGCTGTTGCTGTTTTCAGTTCATCTTCAGCCACAGTCTTGCAGTGGGACCCTTCTGTCCATCCAGGTGTCTCCAGGAACATGAGGAGTCTGCTGCAGGGTGGAAGAGGACCTGCTTCAGATCTTCGTTTTCTGCCCACCGAGTGGGTCTTCTGAGAAATGTGACTTTGTCACGAGGACACAGCCACCAATTTATTTGCCACTGCTGGCTCTTGGTTTTGTAATGCCTGTCGGGAGGACCACATTTGGAGGCCATTACGAAACTCCCTCAGCCTGCTTTCAATCAAACCCTGCATTTCTAGCTAAGGACTATGAACTTTATTGCCTTTCTTCGTTCCCAAACTGTTCTGCCCTGTCTCTCCCATCTCTACTCGGGCAGCATCCCCTGCCAGTTCCACTTCTTCAAGAATCTGAGGCTTTGGTTTCAACGGTATAAATTAATCCTTTTTCTGTTTTCCCTCTCTTGGCAGAAATTAAAGTTCCACTTGCCAAGACATCGGGAAGTTCGAGACACGCACCAGCGATGCAACTGCCCGGCAGGTAGGGACCTGGGACAGCTGGCACTTGGGGAAGTGACAAAAAAACTCTTCTGTCTGCATCTCACTGAAGGATTTTTTTTAATGCAGTCTCCTGTGTGAATGCAAAGAGATGTGGACTTGTTTGCTCAAGGCAGAGGAGATTGATATGGAGATGTGGCCAACAAGTCCGGTTTGTACGTGGATGCCAACGTGTGACAGGAGAAAGCAGGAAAAGTGACAGATAGATAGAAAAGGTGGACGTCTAGATAGCCAATAAAGAGAGAAGGATACATCAGGAGGGCCAGTGTTCCCACAGATTTTAGCTGTCAGTTTTGAAGTGGGCAGAGGAGCTCTTGGGAAGTGCATCTTTCTCACCTGAATTTGGAAGGTTTGAGACATGTAGGCAAGATCCAACACCGAGGCTGAATTTTGGTGAGCCAAAAGGCCTCCAGGGTGAGAAGACTTGAATTCCTTGGTGTTCTACAACTATCTGAAGCATCTTGCAGAATTAACAGCCTTCTGCTAGAAGCAGCCATTTAGGATGAGCTTTAATGAAGTGGTCACTTGAAGTGGTCCCACTCATATAATGTACAGAAATATTATGGGATTGCCTAATTGCATTATGGTTTTAATCATGTTAATATCAAAAGGCTCTTTGTGACACATCTTCTGAAGTGGTTTCAATACAATAAGTGACAAATTGCTATGGAAAAAACGTTTGTGAATGGCATTTCATTCCACGAGTATGAATCATCCAGCATTCCTCGTTGTCTTTTGATGCATTTGACTAGAAAAAAATAGAGAAGTGCCAGATACCACTCACATCCAAAGCTGAAGTTCTGGGAGAATTTGAATCTCTGTATTCAAACCGAGGGACTGAGACTCGTTTTGCAAAGAAGGTGGCAGGGAAAGCTATGTCTGGATGAGCACATGGAAATAGCATTTCCATTCCCAGTGGTTTCTCCTTTGGTTCTCTTTGGTGTCCAGTGTGACTGTACCTGGTGGTGTGCTTGTCAAAGGGTATTTAAATGTGGTCAGCAGTTGGGATAAGGATGATAAAATTACAAAGGGGTTGTCTTTGCTGTAGGTAAGGTCTCAAAATCTCTGTATTTATGCTGGTACAGACACAAGAGGTACAGTCTCTTGACAGACTAAAATGGATTTGCAACACAGCAGCTTCTAAAAGCAAGAGTTAAAGCTGTACAGGTTTGTGGTAGAAAAGAACTAAAATCCAGGATCCAGAACTGTAGAACATTGGAAAAATCCTGATTTGACTGGTCCAGATCAGGACTGTTGGACTTTCTTTTTAGTCCCAGAAAGAAACAACCGGAACAATTTTGATTTAAATTTAAAAGATAGTACAGATGAAATGTTTTCTAAGTATCGTTTCTCAAAGGAGCAGATCAAAACTGAGTTCAACTGATTTTAAATACCAACATTTTCCCTTCAATGGGAAGACAAATCACAGCCCTCCTCCATTTTTAAGTTCTTGCCTGGACTTGACAAATAAATGCCATGAAACCACAGGAGTGAATGTCCTCCTGGTGTTTCTGAGCCAGCTTGAAGAAGGAAACTTAGAACTTGAATGCAGAGCAGAGAAAAAAGAGATTTGCTCCTTTTTGAGGCCATCTGAATGTCACTCCTACGCCACTTGTGTGATAGATGGATCACCCAGGTATTTCAGCATTGAGATCACAACACTTGGTTACAGATACCCACACCCCTTGGGAAGCTCTGGCAGCAGTCTGTGCTGGATTTCTCATAACTCTTAGGTGCCCATTCATTCCATTAAGCTCAGAGTGTTGCTGAATACCATCTTTGATTCAGGAGGACAATAATAATAATAAATGTCTCACAGGGGTCTCGTAAGGGTTGAGGCTTCCATTTTACCTGTCAAACTCGCTTGTCTTCATCAAATATTCTGTGGATACAGAAACTAAATATAAAATTCTCCTCCACCCTGTCAGCTAATCTGTTGGAGGAAATGAAATCGTGGTCTAGAGCTGATGTTGTGGCAGGTGAGGTTTTGATTGGCTTGGAGCAGTACAGAAACAAAGGCACCTTCAGCCAGCTGTCATCTCCTCTTAGACCCTTTGCTCCAGGGTATTTCCCTTTGGTCTCCAGGCTGGTGCAATGCAGGCCACCTGACCACGTTTCAACGTGGTCTCTCTTCCAGCACAAGACCTTGGGAACCCTTTTCCTCTCTGCAGTTCCCCCCTGGTGTTTAAAATGCCCCAAGGACCAGACAACATGACTTCTGCGGGAGACCAAGGTATTCAGAAGCGTCAAGATGTTGCAAGAGTTGGCGCATGCCTGCTGCTTCTCACTGGCCCACTTCACTGCCTATAAACACATCGTGCTTCTCAGCAGAATAAATGTTTATCAGCAGTGACATTTGAGTTCATCCCTAACTGTGAGTCAGGTCCCTGCATGGCAGAGAAGGGGAAAAGGAAGACAAGTTCATTTGCTGACCTGTTCCGTGCGGATGTGGAGGTCTGGGGCTGTAGAAGAGCTCCAGAACAGATGGGGTTGTGAACATAAATGGCTTGAAAAAAGCTGGGAATAGGAGAAAAAGAAGATTGTGAAGTGTGTGACTGTGTTGTGATAAGGATTCTTGAAATAATGTGGTCAGGAAAACAGCACAGCTGTATTTATAGAAAACGATAAGGAAATAGAAGTTTCGTTTGACTGGAAAGTGGCTACTTCAGATCACTTGGGCTGGGCGTGACTACCTGTGAGATGCTGATCCTTCTTGGCATGGTGGTTTTTGAGTTGAGAGGTCACAGTGGGCTTCTCCAGCGGTGTCTTGGTGGGGAGGACACAGCCCTCAAGTTTACATAACCTCTTTGGGTAATTAATGACTTTGTTCCCTTCAATAGATAACTTCTGTCATTCCTTCTGTCCCCACTTACTGCTAGACGGGTCTGGGACAACTTTGTACAGGTTGGAGAGGAGAAACCTCAATGGCAGCAATGACTGCACCCAGTTATTCTCCAGCCCCAGAGCCTGTGCTGGGATGGGGCCAAGTGTGGGCAGGGAGCTCAGCACAGGTTTTGGTCTGAGGTTGTTGCATGCATGGATGTGACTTGGGGAATTTTTCTGGGACTGAGCAGATGCTTTTCCATATGGTGTGTGGATGTGGTCGGGAGCTACCTGAGGCTGGAGGATCCTCTTACAGCCAACTGACCTCCCTTAATTTCCTCCATGTAGTAAAAAAAATGCTGCAAGGGGAAAGCATTTTGTTTCAGGTTGACAGGGGAAAAAAAAAAAAATCTAAGCTTTCCTGGTCTAATCTTGATCCAGTTGCAGACCCAGACTGTGTCTGCCTGGGCAGCCTCAAACAACCAGGGATTACACCACAATCCCTTCCCACAGCTTTCCTGGCAGAGGTGGGCGCTTGTGTATTTTGTATATTGTGACTCTCTTTATTAGCTCTTTCCCATCTTCCTCTCCTCAGCTCTGATTTTCACAGTCCCCACGTGGCTGTTTTTCACGGTGCTGGCTCTCTGCTCTGGTCTTCAATATCCCTTTAAAAAAGAAAGGGAAAAAAAAACAAACCCAAGGCTGGCTGCTTTCCCTCTGCCTCCACAATGCTTGTTTTGGTCCGGTTTCTCCTCGGTCAGGTTGGGAGCCTGCGGTGCTGGGGGCGGTCAGCCGTGCAAGCAGGGAGGCAGCTCACAGGGATGCTGGATGACTTTTCCATCCCTTCCTTGTGGCAGCACTCGAGGGCAGAGGAGGGACCCGGGCTGCAAGAGGAGGCAGCTCCCAGGGATTGGCACTGGCAGTCAGACGAAGCCCTGCCAAAAACCTTCTGCTATTCCAGGGGCTTGTAGGATGATGTTGGGGCAGCTGCAAGGATTTTGGCAGTGACCAGGAACTGATGTTTTCTCCGGAATGTCTTTGAGGCTTTGCAAAGGAATGTCCCCTGGGCATTTCTTCTCGTACAAAATTTCACCCCCGTTTCCTATCTGCCCCACCGTGGGGCACAGAGAAAGCTGCTTGGCCACCCTTCAGCTGCTATTGACTTGACAGAAATACTAGCAGGAGATGCTGCAACTCAAAATTGTTGCTGCTGCTCCCCTTCTTGCAGGGAAGCTTGCAGGAGCCAAGGTGCAGCGGTGGCCCCAGCTGCACCCAGGGGACGTGTGCCACATGGTGCACACCCTCAGTCCAGGCTTTCTGCTTTCCTTCTTTCCATCCTGTGCTGTCCAGACCCCTCAGCACACCGGCAGCTGCTGGATGAGGCCAGCAAGAAACGGTGCAGGGCTGCAGTGGGGTGTTGGCTTCCAGCCAGGATGTGACACCCAGAGCCAGCGGGGCCAGCTGATGGGAAGTGCATTTCCCACATCCCAACCTGTGCCTGTCCTCACAGACAGGTGCAGAGGAAGGAAAAAATGCTGGGAAAGGCAGCAGATGAAGGGTTGGTGGGGATGGCTGGGGCAAGGGGAGAGACTCCTGGGCAGTGTGGGCTGAGCCTTGTCCCTGCAGCAGACAGGCAGGATGTTGTATCCAAGTGGATGCATCCGTTTCTAACTTGGGAATTGTATCTTCTCCCCAACATCTCTGTGGAGATGAGCCAAAAAGGGGGACAAAACCCTCTCTCCACATCCCAGCTGGGGTGCTCCATCTCTTGCCAGGTTGTTTTCATGGCTTTTCTATTTTCTTGTTGTCGTGTTTAACATGATCCTTTTCCAGCTTGCTGGGGTTGCTTGGACGGAGCATAGGATCGTAGATTGGTTTGGGTTGGAAGGGACCTTAAAAGATTGTCTAGTTCCACCCCTCTGCCACAGGCAGGGACACCTTCTGTTAGACCAGGATGCTCCAAGCCCTGTCCAACCTGACCTCGAGCACTCCCAGGGATGGGGCAGCCCCAGCTTCTCTGGGCTGCCTGTGCCAGTGTCTTAATGCTGCACAAGGGCTCCCATGAGATTAAAAACACGAACACACTGGTGAGCCCCGAGGGGTGAAGGAGGTGTTTGGGATCCCTGGTGTGGGGTGAAGGTGTAGAAAGGTCAACTCCAG